ATCTTTGAGAAAAAGTTTATTTTACATTGTAAGTGAATTTTGTAGTGATTAGTCGTTATTTTATTTTACATTGTTTGATGCGTATTTCGTTTGTCTTGCATTTGACATCTCTCCCTCAAAACCTAATCACAGGAAATTGATTTCACAGATTTTAAACAAAAAAAAAGTAATTAAAATGAGAAATTGCAGATCTCCAATGGCTAACAATGGAGAATTTTGGGAAGGTGGTCTATTTAATGAAAAAGCTAATTCAAATTGGGAATGCCACATGGCGTTTTAACATTGGTTAGATGTTGTTTTTTTATTCCTTGACGCGCCCAACTTGCGTGACAACACTGATGGGTTTGAAACGGGTCAAAATGATGTATTTATTGTGCTTTTGGATGGTTTCGTGGGGTAATAGGACCTCCGCAAACTTAAGGTGTCTACTTAAAAAAAGGGTACAAGTTCCATGGGGTAATTATGTATTTCCTCTTTCTTTTTTTTAAAATAATTTTTGGACCAATTAGACCATACATGTCTATTACTGTAACAACCCGAAACTGTCGTTATTTTAGGAGAAACAAAATTCAGGAAAAATTTGGTCCCTTGTCCCGCCATAGCGGGCCAGATGCCTCTAGGGCAGCGGCGCTAGGGCGGGGTAAGCTGGCGCCATGGCGGGATAGGCGAGGCAGAACGTAAATTACGAGAAATCCTATTTTCTCCATCTTTCTAAAATACCTAAATAAGTCGTAAAACACCTTAGAAACCTCAGAAAAGCTGCTCTAAGCTTGGGAAGGAAGGAGAAGGAGATTTCTAGCGTGAGGATGGTGATATCTTGCGGATTCTTGGCCAAATTCACCGTCACGAGGCCTGGAAAACCGAAATCGAGGTCAAAAACTCCGTGCAAGTGCTTGGCTCCTAGGTAGGGTAGGTTTATGAATTGAGTAGTTATAAATATGTGTTTACTACGTAATATATGGAAATCAATGGTAGGGTTATGTGTAGACCTTTGTGCACCAAGTAAATTCCATGAGTAATCCCTAGAAACCAAAGTATGTGGGTTTATGCTTTGAGAAGAGAAATTGATGAATTGTTAGGGACTCTAGAATTGTTATCATGGATAGAATTGGTTCAAGAATAAGACTATGAAATCATGAATGGAACTAGATTTACGAATGCATGCTAGATCATAAATTTGAGTGATTGAATTGAGGATTTATGATGAATTGTGACTAAACCCTAGAAAGAAGGCTTAGATGATGAACTAGGGCTAGGTATAGTCAATTTAATGTATGTATATGAATGTTTCATTGTTGATCACACTTGTTGTAAATGATATGGGTGAACTATGATTGCCATGAATCATGACTTAAATGTATGATCTTAAAGATATACTTGTGATTGTGACTGTGAAGTGTTGAATGGATCAGTTGTCACGTTTCGGCATAGCTAACTTGGATCGGTTGCCACGTTCCGGCATAACTATTAGATCGGTTGCCACGTTCCGACTTAACTATTGGATTGGTTGCCACGTTTGGGCATAACTATGGGATCGATTGTCACGTTCCGGCATAACTAACTTGGATCGATTGCCACGTTCCGACATGCTAACTGTTTGGGTTTGGGTTTGGGTTCCATGAGAGGACCAATAATGTGATATAAATGTGAAGTTGTTCGTTGTTCGTAAATATTGATGATATCATATATGTTTGATATGCGCATGTGAGTATAGTGTTGTATTAACTTGCTTATGTTGTACTTAGTGGAAGGGCAAAGTGTTCAAGGGGAGAGTAATAGATAGTAATGGTTGTTCGTGTGTTGTAATGGCGAGAAGCAGAGGTAGTGGTCGTAATGTAAATACGCTTAGGTGGATTTCACTTTGGGGGAAAGAGATTGGGTTAGTGTTAAGGGAGCTTGATGTAAGGTACTTGTGACTATGGTTGGGCAATGTTGGTGGTTGTATTTGGGGGATTCTTCTACATGTTAGAATGGTTAGGCTATGATCAAGTACCTAGTAAGTAGGTTGACTGGAAGGTGGTTAGTAGTTAGAGTGCTAGTGTAATTTGGAGGTATTTCAAGAAAGGGTAAAGGTGGAGAAGCGAGTGGTTTATTTCATGATCTTACTAGTTGGTTTCTTATGTTATGTGGTGGGAGTCGGGTTGATCGATGATGCCTACTAGTACGCGTGTTTTGTACTGATACTACTCTTGTTTTGTCTTTTGACATAGTCTGGATGTAGGACTGGTGATGCTTCATTAGGTGAAGACGAAGAACTCTCTTGTAGCTTCTATTCTTCCTTCCGCATGTTGGGAGTTGTGTCTTAAATTATCTTGTCCAGATGTACTCTTAGTAGCTCTTGTACCTATTTAGACAAGATTCATGGGAGTTGTTAAATTACTTTACAAGTTTTAACTAAAAAGGGTGTCTAAAGATATTATTTATAAAATCATGTTATTGTAATTACATCTGTTTTCTTTAATTTTTCCGCATGTTTGACTATTGGGATATGAGGGTTCTCCTACTTAGGTATTAGATGGGTGCCCGCACGGCCCGGTGGGTTGGGTCGTGACAATTACACCTTATGTGGTCTGCACTAGATAAAAGTCCATAATTATTTAATTTTATAAATTATACACTCATTTAATTTTATAAATTGTATTAGTTTATATAAATACATGATGCAAAAACGGCCCGATGATAGTTCCCAAAAAGAGGCAACTTTGATTCTAAATATTTATCAAAAAATAAAAGTGGCCTTATTCTTTTCCTATAAAATCATAAATAATAATAATATAATAATAATAATAATAATAATAATAATAATTATTATTATTATTATTATCATCATATATTATTATAAATGGGAAGCTCCAAAGTGAAAAGTTGAATTACCATTTTGCCCCTCTACTAAATTAAAATTTGATTAAATATAAATATTTTAATTAATTACATAATGGTAGAATTTGAAGTCCTTAAGCCCTTTAATAATTAAATTATCATTTTCTTGATAAATGAGTACATTGATATTGCTTTTAATCGTAATCATAAATCTCATAATGGAAGAATTTGAAAAGTTATGATATGGAAAATCATTCATCACTTTAATGTAGAAATCAATTTCAGAATTATAATTTGAATTTAAAGGGTCATTTTCTAATGTTATTTAAGAACCAACTTACGAAGATGGAAGCTCACAATAGGAAATCGAATTAAAGAAATTGCACAATTCAACATGAGAAGATAAGAGAGTTAGAAGTTGAAAGTGAGGATAACCAAAAAAATGCTAAAAATTGGTAATCAAGAAGAAAAAATAGCAGCGGAAAAAAGAGAGTAAATTTAATACACATGTGTAGTATTAAACAGTGAACAGTCTTATGTTGATATGTTGTCTCTAACAATAACAAAATTTTCTTTTCAGAGCATGAGGACTTTCTTTGCAATATCCTCAACTTTGTTCTTGCTTTCTTTCTCCATTATAGAATTTTTCTTCCATGAAGCATTGAGAATTGTATGGGTGTTGGACTTGAAGTATAGATATCAATTTAAGGTATGTGTAGAAATTTTCTTATTGTACATTTAAATGAGAACCATTAATCATTTTTGTTATTCATTTTGCACATACTAATATATCATATGTTTGGACCTAATAACGTAAAAGAGTAACTCATTATTTTAGTTACCAAACTAAATTTTGCAGGTTTATCAAATGTCTAATCATTTGACATACAATAAAGAAGTTATTTCAATACATTGATTGCTCATCGATTTTAAATTATTATTTTTGTTTGAATAGTTTGTGATACTGATTAAAATGTGATTTTGACAGTAATTCATATCTTTCACAGGACTCACGTGCAAAGCACGTGTCCAGGACTAGTATATTATTAAAAATAGGAAGCCTCAAAGTTAAAAGTGGGATTACCAAACTACCCTTGCATTTATATTTATGTTTTTTTGTCTTTTTTTTAAATTTACATCTCTCTCATTTTGCATTTTAAAACATTTGCTGATATTCATTTCTCAATTAAAAGGCAATTAAGAAATAAAGTCTTTCAGTTTTTAAACCCTTTTTTCAAGAGTTGTTCGTCTTCTGTAACTCCTGCCTTTTTATTTTTTCCTTTACTAAATGAAGAAATAGTCTCCACAGGGAAAAATAGTTTAGCCACTTTTATCTTTTGCAATTTGCACCAAATTTCATTTTCATACATTACACCCTAGCAAAAAGTTTTCTACTTTCTTTTTTTTGGTTCAATAAATTTTAGTGTTTAGTCTATTTAGTTCACCAATATTATAACGCTAGAAGATGTATTAGGGTGTTAGTTATAATTTCAAAAAGATAAACCTCTCATCTATGAGTTCATTATCATAAACAGTTGTAATTAGCTTTTTTGGTATTCAGTTATAATTTATTTTCTCGCACTAAAATGTGCAAGGAGGAATCGTGCACACAAACCTGACTTTGTCTCCCAAGTAGCCTCCCAGATCGAACGATGCTTTGACTGCACCTTCACTAAAGCAATCTCCTTTGTCCTTAGCTTTCGAACCTGCCTATCCACGATAGCTATACCGATGTCAAAGGCTCACGTTTAAGTCCCGAACATAGAACTAAAACAACTCCTAGTTTTCATTATTCCCAACTGATGGATTTATAGTCACTCAAAGCCTCCATCTGATGCTAAATTATTTGCCAGTTCAGAACCTTGTTGATTAATTAATGCAGCTAATACCTTCACTATATTGAAGTGTCAAGAAATTCCCCCTTCCTTAGTCGTACAAATGTAATGTCGATTCTCACTAAATCCTTCCTTCCCTTTCTCCTACTGTGTGGGCTTCAATTAATCCACGATTAACTCTCATTGTCTTAGATATATGTCGATGTGGAATACAACAAGACGATGAAAGAATCAAGAACTAACTATGGTTTCATTTCATATGTCGGAAATATACAACTACAATAAGACTTTTCTCCAAACAAAAAAAACATCAAAGAATAAGTTGCTTTATGTATATCTTCTTGACTACAACTTTAACTCCAAATTATTATCCTCAGAAGAAGAAGAAGATGAAGAAATCCCAGAAAGTGGCTTGTCGAATGTAGTAGTACTGATTGATGTAGAGGCATAATGATCATTATACGGATACATGTGAACCCAAGTAAGAGGCATTACTGTTGGAACACTTTTCATCATGGAATTTGGTACAAAACTTGGCACATTATGACTTTCTTGATTATTTCCCAATGGAACAATAGCTTGATGTGTAGTATCCTCTGTTTTTTTTTCAAGATGCTCTGTTTTTTCAATACGAAGATCAAAAACACTTGATTTCTTTCGCTTTTTTCTCTCATTGGAATTAGCATCCAATAATCTCACGAAGTACTTCTGAGCATGACTAGCAACCTGTGTGGACGTTCTAGTAGGCACGAAATCTTTAGCAATGTTAGTCCAACTTCCTTTTCCATGAAAATCCAATCCTTTCAAGAATGCTCTCTGTTCACCCTCTGTCCATCGATTTCCTTTCTTGATTTTCCTTCCCATGAAATCTTTTTCAGATATTATTGCAGCATCAGAACTAGTCATCGTCGTCGTTGTAGTGATCTCAAAACCAAACAATTTGATGCTTTTGCCATTTTCACTGCAATTCCTAGCCATTGCTAAAAGAAAACTCTGTTAATTTGATAAATGAAGAAGAATAGTATAGTGTATATATAAGGAGGAAAGTTTCCTTTTTTATGCAATGTAAGAGATATCTGGGGAAACCGTGTTTTTTCACTTTTATGGTAACTACTAGTACTACTTATTTTATTTATATTTTTATTTATGCAGATTAGTTACTGTTTATTTTAGGTTACTAATCAATAAATTTACTACTATCTTCGTCAAACTTTTAATTTTTATGGTTTCCTTTTTTAAAATCAAACAATAAGCACTGTGACTAACATTTTACGATGTATTTTTTCATCATATTGATATGCAAAAAAATTGCAATTTATAGTACTTTTCGTATTGTTTTTGAATATCTAATTTGTTTGTTTAAAATATCGAATTGATAAAATCTAATTTCACTTTGAAAATTAGTCAAATTGACTTTCGAAAAGCGCAACATGACAATTAAAAGTGGATAAATGAAGTACTATTTTACCATCGTATGATTAATGTTTTGCATTATCTGATATTAAAAGTTTACCTTTTCATGCGGTGTAAAAGTTACTTTACATTTATTACAATTCAGTGAAAAAAGGGAAAATGTGTCTTTGGACTAAGGAAAATATTTCAAATAGTATTTATGGGAAGGAGGTAACGGAATATGCGATAAATAAAGAACATAGTGAAAGTAAAAAGATTTCTCTAAGATTTGATTTGGAAGTAGATTTTATATTTCTTTTCGTAAATATCCATAGATCTTGTTATTTCATTGCAAAAGTAAGATGTCAACTAACCAAATTGTTTTGCTTTAGAAATATTCAGAGTGAATTAAATCTTAATAATGTAGCACATGAATTTATTTTAATAGTCATTTATGCTTTAACATGTAAAGATGGCATAAAAGTATTCTTGATGCCATCCCTATTACACCTCAAATTCAATGGAGCGTTTTTAGTACATTCCGCAAAAAAACTCTGATTCTGATTTTGAATTCACTAAACTCGATATTTTTTTGCCCGGATTAAAAAACCTACTGAACAACTATCAATATTCATTGTAAATCTAGTTACTCTTAATTGTAAATTATTATAGAAACTCATAAACTTCAAACGACACAGTTACTTTTAACTATGTTGGGGTCTCGGACTGACTAGAAATTGTTATTGAAACAATGGATATATGGTATTCATGTATTGTTCCTATCTGAAATAACACTAACTTGCATTTTAGTCTAGCTCCCAAGCTAATTACTTAATGCTTGTTTGGTAATTACAAATATTTTAATTAAATTTAGAAGGCAAAAAATTGTTTTAACAAGAAAATCAACAATAATAACTAAAATAATGATTCATCAAGTTTAGTAATGGGATGATGAAGAATATTGCAGTGTAGCCTCAACTATTTATATCATATTTTGTACACCTTTTTCTTCATTAATACTTCAACTGAATATTGAAATTCCATTGAAGCTAAATCTTTTACTTCTGGAGAGGACAAAAAAAAACCATTTGGATATCGTGAAAGACGTTTGAACGTGAATGGAAGACACGTCTCGAGTCATAAAACATTACGAAACTGCCCTTTCGTTGCAACCCCTGAGGTGTCGGGGATGAAACAGTGCATGACATGCTTTAAGTAAAAGATATACTAATCGAAGTCTTTTGAAACAAACCACTTCACAAGACATATTTCCTTGAGCTTTCCAATGAAATATCAAGTTAATAATTATCATAATGTAGAAAGAAGCGATGAGCGTTCAATATTTGGTGCTTAGCCTCACTGCACAACCAACACACATTTATACAAGTAACTGTAACTCTTTCTTGACAGAATGGATCCAAGTAAGACCCCATCGAGTGTCCTCTCAAGATTCTGAATGTGATGTCCAATAGACCAGACCGCTGAAATATGTCAAAAAGTAAACCCCACAGTTAGCTTACAAGGACCAGAAGCATGATCTCTTTTTTCTCATAATGTATGTGAAAAATGCAGGCTAAGCAGAGCTACATGACACAACTGAACACAACATAGATGTGATGTATTCTTTTTCATGTACAAACCGGAGAACGTGTTTGTTTGTTATTCTTAAATGGGACAAGAAAAGAAGTAGAAAGCTACTTAGAATTTTAATTCGAGCATTCCACTTTATTAGCAACACTGGAGAAGAGAAGTTCACTACACTGAAAGCACGTAGTAAACCTACTTGACTCTGATATTCTTGGTAAGACACAGGTTCAAAACCATTGCTTTCTATTCAAGCACCATTATGGCAAAAAATAAATGTATACAGCGAGGGGGAAGTGAGGAGAAGGCAGAGAGGACAGGTGGATGAACAACAAAGCTCAACTAAAAATTAGTGCATAAAAATAACCTTTAAGTAAAAAACCTTTATGCAACAATCACCCTTTCTCGCATGACATCGAAGGCTCTATAAGGCAGCAAAACCTAATAAATATTAAGCAAATTACCTGATTAAGACAAACACACATTGCAGAACACCTGCAACTCCTGTCCAAGCTGAAGGACCAGATTTTCCCAGTGCATCTTGTATCAATAGACCAACTGATGCCGCCAATGACACGAAGGATACAACATATGCAATAAATAGCCACAGCTTCAACCTGCATTGTCAACATTGAAACAGTTGAGCAATTCAATGTGACAAGGAAAAGCAAATAGAATCAGAAATCTATATTTTTTTGATAATCTCGAAGCATACATGATACATCTATTAAAAGAACTAAAATGTGCAAGGATGGATCAAAGATAAACGACAATACCTAACCAATAATAACTATCATTATGCCTCAGACAGGGAGGAAAAAACAGGAAAGGATTCCGTAGCTCTTTCACAAGCGATAACAAATGCAAATTATGGTGATCAAGCATCATTCTATTCATTCCAAGAGACTGAATAACTAATTAAAGCTTGGCAACAAACCCTTTAGATGATAAGACCAGGCGACCAAAATCGAATTGCTCAAAAGAAGCAACAAAACCTCACAAAAAGCGTCTCTACCCAAAATCATGACTCATCCCCATGAAATTATAGGAGTACTAAGACAAATGAAGATTATATGAAGTGGACAGGAAATAAGCAAGGCCAACTTTCTGTGCAGTCAGTTAATGGTGAATATAACACCTCAAATTACCAGATCGGTTGTTGACCATGGAAGATGATATGGAGAGCCAGTTCCATATAAAGATGCATGCTTCACATGGTTGTTAGCAAAAAAGGCAGTATTAACACACGATAACCTCAGCAAGAGAGGCTATCCTATGTGCCCAAGATGTTACCTATGTGGGGAGTAGTTAGAGACAATGGCTGGTCAGCTATAGAATTTTTTTTATAAACATGAGGGGAATTAGGTGGGCTATGCCAAGAAGAATAATTGAAGTTTGAGCTAGTTGGAACAATGAGGGTAGATTATCCTGTAAGAAAGAGAGATGGCGGATTATCCCTGCTTGTATTTGGTGTACAATTAGAAGAAAAAGAAATCAAAGGTGTTTTGAAGACAAATGTAGCTCTCCGGATGGAAGTCAAAATATTTTTTCATTTGGAGGTAGACTGACCCTGATAACTTCTGTCTTAGATGCTCTACCAAATTATATGATGTCCCAGTTTCATATCCCCCAGGCTATTGTGCACAGGATGGATAAAATCAAGAGATCTTTTCTTTGGCTAGGTAATAAGGAGAAAGGAGAAAAGAGGTTTTTATTTAGTCAAAAAGGAAAAATCTTACCAGAAGTAGACGGTAGGATGGACATCAAGAATCGTAAGAACCAGAGCAAAGCTCTTCAGGTGAAATAGTTATGGAAATACTCTTAGGAATCCCAAGCTTTTTGGAGTAGTGTTATCTAAACCAAGTATGGGGAGCTGGATGATTGGGTTTCTAAAAAAGTTACTACACCTTATGGTGTAACCCTAGGGAGATCTATTAGGCCATACTGGCCTTTGCTTAAAAGTCAGTCTACTATCAAGGTTCACAATAGCAACAAGACTATTTTTTGGACAGACAAGGGGTTACTACAAAAGTTATTTCTTGAATTGTTTCCTGCGGCACAACATCAACACAACACAATAGTTGAGGCGTGGATCCATCAAGGATGGAATTTGATCCTCAAAAGGCATTTGAATGATTGGGAGATCCCAAGGCAATCTAATTTTTACAAGTTTTTGGAAACTCTTCAAGGGCCACAAAGTGGAGTGGACTGCTTAGGGCGGAATAGCAAAGGTATTTACAAGGTGAGGGAGGGGTACAAGAGTCCAAATTAAGCTTAGCCATGGATCACTACCAGACCATGGAAGCACATTTGGAAAGTAAAAGTGCATTTAAACGGGACATGTTTCACTTGGCTTTTAGCTAATGAGGCTGGTCCTAACCCATGGAAATCTATCAAAGAGGGGAATATCCCTATGCACAAGATGTTATTAATGTGATAGTGAGGCTGAGACAATTAATCATCTTTTCCTGTAATACATAGTCATTGACCAGCCAGGGAAGATTTTTATCGATCGCAAAGGCATCTCATGGATAATCCCTAGTAAGATTGTTGACACTCTTTTTAGCTGGGAGGAAGCTGGAATTAGTGCAAGAAACAGAGAAAGATGGAGAATTATCCCAGCATATATTTGGTGGACCATCTGGGAAAGAGATAAATGCCAGATGTTTTAAAGATAGGAGCAGCAATGTGCAGAAGATCAAGCTTAACTGTATATTGTTATTCTGCTTTTGGTGTACAAAGGCTTATTCGGAAGACACTGAAACAATTCTAGATGTTTTGGAGTCTGTTTAGGATTACAATCTCAAATTTGTATTTGGTGCTTCTTTCTTCTATTATTAATATGATTTTTTCAGTACTATCTAACTACGGGCTCTAATACAAATTGTTATGTTACCAGTTCAAGAGAAAAGGACAAATGTAGCTCTATACAAAAGTTGAAGATGAATTGTCTGGTTCTTTTCTATTTTTGGTGCAAGTAACCGTACCTATAAGATTGTGAT